AGAGAGAGAGAGAGAGAGAGAGAGAGAGAGAGAGAGAGAGAGAGAGATAGAGAGCGCCGGAACTGACGCAGACCAACTTCTCATTTATTATTAAATATTGCTGACTATTGATAGGTCTACAGAGGAGCGTTTGTTTGGTCTCTTCGTGCTCGTTATATTTCGGCAACATCTTGCGATTTCTACCCAACACGTGTTAAAACCAACCGATTAACTGCGTCGTGTTTGACAGTTTCAATAGTGATCCGTTGCGTTTTTCGTGGCGAAGGATTAATGAGGGGGGAAGTAAAGCGCCGCCACTCATCCCGAGCCCGGCACCGGTCCTAAACCCTAACCTCTCCTCTTTTCGTAACCTCGTTCACCTGCCATTCAGCCTACCGCCCGTTTCGCGGCCCGGCGTTTAGGCAGTCAGCTGTCGCGCGTGGCTTCGAACGTTCTCTCGCCGCGGGATGACACGTCCCCTACGGCGGCGGCTACGGTGGCGGCTACGACGGCGGCTGCTACGGGCACGACGGCGGGCATGATGACCCTCGCTCCACCAAGAAGGCGGATCGGGTACGGCAGGTGATCTATGTACCCCCTCCCACCTTTTGGTGGTCGAGTAGGCTATGTTGTGCGGGTCTCCCACACTTTCTACAGTTTTCCCAAACGGCCCATGGGTGCCCTATGGGGAACAAAAGGCTCATGGGTGCCCCATGGATGCCCCATGGGCGTCCCATGGGCATGCCCATGGGCAATGCCCATGGCTGGGCGTGCCCATGGATGACCCATGTGGGTAGCCCATGGGCATGCCCATGAGCAAGCCCACGGGTGACCCATGGGTCACTTGTGGGCATGCCCAACATGCCCATGACGGGCGGGGCATGGGCAAGGTGGGCTGCCCATGAGCGGCCGACCATGGGCAACCCACCGCGGGCAGCGCATGGGCAGCCCATCGTGGGTTTCTCACCACGTGCAGTACACGATGGGCAGCCCACGATGGGCAGCCCATCGTGGGCAGCTCACGGGCAGCCCACCATGGGCGGATTATGCCAGCCGATCGTGGGCAGCTCACGGGAAGCTTACCGTGGGCAGCCCATCGTGGGCAGGTCACGAGCAGCCCACCATGGGCGGTTTGCGGCCAGTATATCCTGGGCAGACTATGGGAAGCCTACAATGGGCGGCGCATCGTTGGCAGGTCATAGGCAAGTCAGCAAATAGTGGGGTACGCACGGGCAGCCTTTGTTGGGCAGCCTTTGTTGTGGGCAGCCTATCGTGGTCACAGCCCATCTATCGCGGGCTACCCACATAGACGGTTGGCCACGGACAGCCCACCAAATGCAGACCACCAAAAGCCGCCAACCCGTGGTGAACATGTTGAAGACGGCCATTTGGCCGCCCATGGGCTGCGCATAGCAGGCGGAATTGCTGTGAAATGTCGGCGGCCCAACCTTGGGAGCCCACATGGTGAGCGTTTAGGGAAATTTTCCCACGGGTATGACTGTTGGCGGCCCACCTAGGGAAATAGTTGCCGCCAACTGTAGGCTCACGTTGGTGGCCCATTCTGGGTGATTGAAATAATGGATAGTCGATGCATGTCAAGTGTTGAAGCGTTGGGTGCCGAGTACCACCTGGCGGGGATATGGGGGATGTGGGAGGTTTGACACAGGACTCAGTTGTTAGTGAAGGGAGGACGAAGGCCCACGTGCGGCAGAGGGGGGTCGCCCTTCTACAAACAAACAATGTTGTATCCAAATCGAACTAATCCACCCAACCAAGATGACGTTGTCCTCCGAAATCGCCGATCTCCCAACAGAAAGCCATGGTCCGGAACCCATTGAATCTCGGAAAGCCTGTGCCCTGTATCCATGAAATATCAATATTGTATCCACATATAAATGGATAATGGTTTTACACATATGTAGGTTTCATTCGGAATATTGCGGTCAATACTACCGTGCAGGATTGAAAGTATGTCCCCCACCAACAAATACTCAAACCACCTATCCATGCCAAACCCTTCTTCCAGAGCACATACTGAATGGGCCCGCAATTAAGAAAAAATCTATTCAGAAAACTTGGCTCAAAATTTACGAACAATACGAAAACAGAGCTAAGAAACTCAGCTCAATCTCGGCTACAACATGAGAAACGTCCCCATAAGAAACATGATCGTGCGATACCCCCCAGATATATGAAATAAGAGGGCTGGGGGGGGAGCGCATCGAACAAGAAACGTCCCACTGATGATGCTGCTGTTGCCATGCTCCCGACCCCTACCTAGCTCATGAAATATTTATTGGAAGGGGGGGGGAGGATATTTTCGCGGCGGTCCCCGCGCCCCCGCGCCGCTGCGGGCTGCGCTATACCCACCAGCCACTGCTGGTATAGTACTGGT